CTTTCATTTCATCACACAGTTCCATCACTGTCATTCTGCATCCTTCATGCAAAGCAAAAAAATTTAAGTGTTAGTTTCATCTTGTACTTTTAAAATGTCATATGATTTCATGCCTAATGCAGTTCTATGCTTCCAACTGTTATGTAAATGCATCAGCAAGTACCTTTCAAAGTCTGCAGTCCAGAAAGAATTTCTGCTTGTTTTTCAAAGTTTTGAACTCTTGGTAAACCTGGTGGTATTTCAGAAAGCAAACAGGCATTGTCTAAGTGGACTTATATCTCATTTCAGATAATTCAGTTTCTCACGCGAGAAACTGAAAAAGAGCAAAGAAAGCAGGAAACGTTCTCATATACAATAACCTATAATCTACTAATTCAGAGATATCCATTATTTGCAACAAGATTTTCCAACCCACAGTGAACTTTGCTGTCAGACACAGGACATTTGGCACTGTACTGTAATGAAGGAAAGAAAGAAACCAGGTAGTAATTCTCTGAACCTGTTAACCTCTACTGGAGACAATGACATGCTCTGCAAGTGTGTGAGGAGGTTTGCTTTGACGAGTGTGAGTTTCACATTTAAACCATGATTTCTCAGAAGAGGGTTTAAGTTTTAATACCCGATTCAAAAGGCAGGTATTTACTACCATTCAAAAGTTTAAGGATGGATACGATTTTTTTGAAAACGTAAAGTCTTTTATAATGTTAGAAAATATTTTTTTCAACTTTATATTCCCCTGAATCCTAAAAAGTATATGGTTTCCCTGAAAATATTAAGCAACACAACTATTTTCAACATTGATAATAATAAATATTTTTTAAGCGGCTAATCAGCATTTTAGAATGATTTGTGCTTGTGTGATGTGTTTTAATCGTATTATTGGGCTAATATTGCTGGTTTAATCCCTAAAAGAAGCAAGCATGAGATCTCTATTATGTCTTTGACATTTAACCCAAACTTTTTGCTAACAACCTGAAGTCTAACTACTTGTTCTTTTTGTTTTCACATGCCACTTAAGGGCAAGTAAATAGCTGTACTACAGTAACAGACTGGTATGGGGAAACCGCTGTTAAATAAACATGGAATATGTGATCTGAACATCTGTGCTGAGTTCATAGAAAAAAACAAAAAGGTTCAAGCATGAAGATATCAACATCAATATAGAGACTGCTAGAGACTTTTACTAGAGAAAATGGCCTTTTCCTTTCAGTGATGATAACTATTAGAAGATCTGATTAAAAGATTGATTAAGGTTTCAACTTCAAATTTTCACCTTCAGTGAACCTATTCAATTTTCAGTCAAATAAAGTCCTTGTATAAGGAGAGAGTACAGTTTTTACAATCACTAGCACCTATCTTTCAACAATTAGGTTCAAAACTGAATAAGACAGCTATTTGCTACATTTCTACAGTAATACTGTATTTCAAATGTAAAAAAAATGAAATACTATCCTATCAAAACAACTAGATGAAGGGTTAGCATGGACTGTGTAAGTGAATTCTGAACAGTAGAGAGCTGTCAATCTTGTTTTGTGAATTATTTTTAACATAAGAAATAATGTTTGTAAGTAATTTTAGCTCAGTGTTTTATGAACGACAAAGTGTGTTTGTTGGGTGAAAACCTTTGTTGGTGTTATTGAAGAGTGACTTGAGACCTGTATGAAGTGATTTGGTAGTTTTAGTGCATTTTCGATGCAAAATGTATTTTGGATCAAGTTTGATAAAAAGTTTAAAAGGTGTAAAGGTATAAAAATGTGCAACTGCACTATTTTGTATTTGTCCACTAGGTGGCAGGCCAGCATTTTAATGCTTTTGAGACAGTACATGCCGCAATAACAAAATCTAAAATAAAAAGTTGTAGTCATAAAAGGCACTGAGCAGCCATCAGTACTTTCTGTTGATATTTTATAATTTGAAGTAACTTTCTACAGAGTTGCCACACGTGACCAATGGATATCAATCTATGACCTTTCTTGACACACACATAGGTTTTAAATTAATAAAAATAAAAAAAAAAAGCATATCATCTAAAGATGTGCATGTTTTTTTCCAGGTCTGACAATCAAAATATTACAACCCTCTAAGATTTCCTGACTTTTTTCCGCATGCATATGACCATAAATTTAAACTTCTATCAATGATAAGGTAACAAAGTCATCTTTAAGGGTTATTACATTTAACGCAATCTGAAAGCTTGTGTATATTCTGTCCACCTGTTAAAAAAAAAGAAAAAGTAGGACAGGACAGTAGCAATTTATATAAATGCATATTATCTTTCTATGGAGTTACAAACTAACCTGATTTGGTATTTCCACATTGTAAGAGAAATATTGTTCATCTGTGGATCATATACTGGAAAACAGTAAATTGGCAATATCAAACCAGCAGAAGAAGTAAAGAACAAAAGTAAGATTTCACTTGATTATCAATTATCATTCTTATTACAAGCGAGTATATAAATGCAAAGTAAACAAACCCCATGTAATAAGTACTTGAATACCTACACATAAACTGATGCATCCATGCGATTTATGCCCAAACCTCCAAAAGATGGAAGATTGTGCAGCTTATTGTGATCTCAATGTGCACTATAAATATATATTTCTTTTTTAATGAGTTGTTTTAATGCTCAAAAACAAGAAAACTGCAAAAGTGGCTATTTTGCTTCCTATTTGTTGATTGAGCACAAAGACAAATATCTATCATCATATATACGGTATATACCATATATGTTTACATGCATTGCTGCAGTTTCAATTCTCTCTCAGTCTTTCCTAATGAATGTTTGATGCCTGCTGGATATGTAACTTGGCCTTTAAATGGCATCGATTTTCTTACCTGACGCTCCATTCTAGGGCGCCACTTAACAAGCAGTTGTTCCAATCATTATGGGCTCCTGAGTCACAC